GGTTTAGGGTTTAGGGTTTGCGCAGGCGCTCTGCGACGTGGAGGTTTACGACGCGCTCCTCAGTCTCTGGCTCCCCGGCAGTCCTTTGTTGATTCCCCGCAGAAATGCCTGCGCTGCAAATTTGCAAAAAAGAATTTTTGTGATTGGGGGTTTTGACGGAAACTCTATTTTAGGGTCTGTGGAGTGTATAGACACCCGAATGAAGCACTGGATGCATGCGGCGCCGCTCCTCGCCCCCAGGTCCAGCGCCATGTGCTGCACTCACGGCGAGTCTTCATTTATTTATTATTTATTATTTATTTATTTATTTATTTATTTATTTGTTTATTTATTTTTATTATTTTAATTTATTTAAATGTTTTCTTCTTTCTTTTCTTGTTTCCGCTTTCGCGCGTTTTCTTTCCTTTTTTTTCCGCTTTTTTTGCTCCAGTTTTGAGCCTTTTCGGCTTCCTGCTGCTGCTGCTGCTGCTGGTTGTGCTGCTGCTGCTGCTGCTGCTGTTGCTGCTGCTGCTGCTGCTGCTGTTTCTTTGCTGCTGCAGCAGATGAGCTGTTGTGCAGCAGCGGGAAGCGGCAGCAAATGCGGAGAGCGTTTGAACAGAAAAGGGGGACTAAATAAAACACAATTTATTTATTTATTTATTTATTTATTTATTATTTATTTATTTATTTATTTATTTATTTATTTATTTATTTATTTATTTATTTATTTCAGGAGACACTTTGGTGGTTTTGGGAGGCACCAAAGGAGAGCGACTTCGCACCGCTGAGGTGTACGAACCCCGCATGGACAAGTGGCAGCCCCTCGCGTGTCCCATGATCGAGGCATGCAAACCCTAAACCCTAAACCCTAAACCCTAAACCCTAAACCCTAAACCCTAAACCCTAAGCCCGACTGTAGGTGGTAAGCGCGGGGCCCGCGTGGGCGCCCTTGGGCGCGGCAGCTGCTGCGGGGGACTTGCTGCTGCTCCCGCCGCCCCTTAGCAACTCCAGTCAGGGTTTAGGGTTTAGGGTCTAGGGTTTAGGGTTTAGGGTTTAGGGTTTGGGGTTTGTGCCCCGCGTTTCCTTTTGGCGTCCCCCCCGCCCCCGCCTGCCGCGTCTGCGCAGCGCCGCCGCGCAGCCTGCAGGGCCCCGCAGCTCCAGGGCTGCACCGAGGGTTTAGGGTTTAGGGTTTAGGGTTTAGGGTTTAGGGTTTGTCGCAGGTGCGGAGCGCGGGCTGCGCAGTCTCCAGCGCAAACCACCTTTATGCCTTGGGGGGGATTAACGCAGACCACCAAATCCACAACTCCCTCGAAGTCCTAAACCCTGAAGGAGGCCAGTGGGTGTTTTTGGCTCCAATGCCGGGGCCCCGCATGGACTGCGCGGCGGTTTTCCTCAAGGACTCCATCCTGGTCCGAGGGTTTAGGGTTTAGGGTTTAGGGTTTAGGGTTTAGGGTTTAGGGTTTGGGGGTGGGGGGGCAGCGGGGGCGGGGAGCGGCCTTGCGCGGGCACGCGGGGACTCCAGGGCGCTTTCGCCAGATGTTCCGTCTTGGTGCCGAGGGTTTAGGGTTTAGGGTTTAGGGTTTAGGGTTTAGGGTTTAGGGGTTAGGCCTTGCGGGGGGGTGGGGGGCCTAGGGTGGACTGCGCGGTGGTTTTGGGCAAAGACTTCATTCTGGTACCGAGGGTTTAGGGCTTAGGGTTTAGGGTTTAGGGTTTAGGGTTTAGGGTTTAGGGTTTAGGGTTTGCGTTGGCAGGTGACGGGGGGGCAGGACGGCGAAGTGTTGAGCAGCACTTGTTTTTATAATCCGGAAACAAATGAATGGAGACAAGGGCCTTCAATGGGGACTCCTCGCTACGGCCACAACCTCGTTGTCACAGCTCTCTAGGGTTTAGGGTTTAGGGTTTAGGGTTTAGGGTTTAGGGTTTAGGGTTTAGGGTTTGGGGCTAGGGTTTGGGGCTGCTCGCGGGCTTTCGGGCCAGTGAGCGCATTTTTAATTTGGGCTCGAAGCCTCGCCTTGGGCTCTAACTCAGCGTTTAGCATTTCGGTCTTTAGGGTTTAGGGTTTAGGGTTTAGGGTTTAGGGTTTAGGGTTTAGGGTTTAGGGCGGAGAGCTCCGCTGAGGGCCCGAAGACTAGGTGGAGTTTTGCTGCGGCAGAACTCGCAAATGTATTAGACAAAAAATATAATAAATGGTAATAAACAATTCAGAATGTGCTGGAGGCAAATAGAGAAAAGAATAAAAGAAAAAATCTTTTAGCCCTAAACCCTAAACCCTAAACCCTAGACCCTAAACCCTCAAGTAAAAGGAAGGGGAAATGCCTTTTTGCTGCGCTGCAGAAAGGTGTAAGAAAGCCGCAGCTCTCTGCGCCGCAGCGACGCTGCATGCATGCGTGCATGCGTTAATTCCTCTGAAATAAATTAATTTGGGGCTTTTTAATTTAATTTAATTGAAAATAAAGTGTCTAAAAAGGAAACGAAGGGGGGAAACCCCAGACTTGGAGCCAAAGGCTATCCCTGAATCGGAGCCCTGGCGGCGCGGCAGGGGGGGCGTTCGAGCGCTAAATTGACCCCCTCCAAGGCTAATAGCGAAGAATTAAACCTTTAAAAACACTTTAAATTCATTTAAAAACTCTTTTGGCGGCGAAAGCGGCGGAAATGCGCGAAAATCGCTAGACACTCGCCGCGGTGTACGTACACTCCATGCTCCACAGAGTCTGAACGCCGACGCCACTTCCACAACTCAACTCGCCATTTAAATAACATTTTCAGAATCCGAAAAGCTCCAACTGGACTACTTTTGCTTTTTCTCGCGCATTTCTCCACTTTTATGTTCAGTTTCCCGCAATATTCCCTCGGATTCCACTAGTTCAACTTCCAGCGAAAGACCCGTCAGGCGCTGAGCAGACTGGCCGGCGATCGCCGCCCAACTGCAGTCTTTTTCCATCCCAAGAAGTTCCTTTTTGAATTTAATTCCATTTTCCGTTTGTTTCCACCTTTTCTTTTCTCTGTCTTCGCCAATTTAGCCCAGGGGCCCCCGCCGCCGCCTCAGCACCAGCCAACCCCATGGCGCCCACTGAACTTGGGGGGCCCCCCAGCCCCTGCCGGGCCATCGACGGCGCCTTCTCGGGGCCCCCAGACGGCAAAGAGGGGCCCCGGGGGGCCCCTGCGGCCCCCGGCGGGGGGGCCCCCCTGGGGGCCCCCCTGGGGGCCCCCGACGGGGCCCCTGGGGGGGGCCCCCCGGGGGCCCCCCCGCTGCCGTCTGAGGGCATTATTAGGATCTGCGCATGCAGCTTGAACCAGTGGGCCCTGGACTTCGAGGGGAACTTCGAAAGAATTGCAGAAAGTATAAAAGTGGCGAAGCAGCAGGGCGCGAGGTACCGGCTGGGTGAGGCCACCCTGCAGCAGCAGCAGCAGCAGCAGCAGCAGCAGCAGCAGCGGCAGCAGCAGCTGCAGCGGTAGTCTCAGGCGGCTCTCGAGCTGCTGCGCCCGCGCGCGTGCAGCGCTGCGGCGATTGCTGGGGCCCCACAATTCTGCTGCTCGTGCTGCTGCTGCTGCTGCTGCTGCTGCTGCTGCTACTGCTG